TCATAACGTTAAAAAAATATTTTAATTTTAAGTTGAAACTTGTATTTTTATAACTAAAACCCATTTATTTATTATTATATTATACCATAATATTCAAAACATGTATTATATTATTATATTATATTGTATGCTATAACTAAATATTTAAAACATTTCAAGAACGAATACCTATTAGGAAACTAAATTGACCCTGCATTTCGTTTTAAAAACATGATTCTTTTAAACAATTGTGGTTTCATACGAGTTCTCTTATTAGTTAATAAATTTCCAGCGTCAGAGAAGAGACGCTCACTTGCAGTTGAAGTTGCAGAAACTGCTAAATACTTCCGAGCAAGACGGCTCAAAATTGGAAAACTATCTTTTTTTTCACTCCACCATGCAAGTGGATCTGAACTCAAAGGAATTTCAGGAAGCTTATAGTATTCAGCAATTTCATCAAGAGTCACTGTAGTATCTTTAGCAAGTCGTTCCATAAGAGACTTCTTCCTCTTTATAGGTTTCACTTGGGATCGTTTTGGTAAATCAGATACACTGATTTCTCTTTGATATTTTTCTTTTTCATTCACAAACAGTTCATTCAAACGTTGCTTAGTGTTAGATTGTTGATTTTTTGATGTGAAATCTAGGCTTTTAAATCGTGGATCAAGTACTGAGGGAATAAGTGGTTCAGTGGTAAGTGTTGGATAATATTTTTTCATATTATTATACAATCTCGATTTTACTTCATCAAGTAGGCCAAATGTGATAACCGGCTCATTAATATCATCATTTGATGTTAGATTTTGCTCCTCTACTACTTCAAATACATTCCCTTCTCGCTCATCAACAACAGAATTTTCATTATTTGGCGAATTGGGTTTAACTGTTTCAATGACTTCCATTAACATTCGTGTACGTATGCTGTTCGTTATATACTTACTCCCTCCTAGTTCTTCTGTTGCATCTGCAAATGTTGATAGAATTTCTTTTAAGTCAGCAATAAGATCCCATTCGTGATCTGTAATCATTATCTGTTTTAATCTTTTAGCATCCTTTTTTGATTCCAAATCAGTACTGATTGAAAGAGTATTAAGTAGAATTTTGATCCATTCTTTCAAATAGATTAAACGTGACCAAGCGAGATAACTGGAATTCCAACGAGTAGCCACATCATTAATTAATTGGAGATATTTAGCCGTACCCCTGGCATCCTAAAAAAAATCAAAGTTATTATAGTTATTAGTTAAAATTGATAATTTTCTTAATAACAATAAGTAATTTTAAAATAATTAGCTTTGAAATTAATAAAAGGTATAAAAATATTTACTATATATTCTTCTTGCTCTCCTTCAGCCAAATTTTCATTATTATCTAATCTATTTGCATTAGGATATTTTTTTTGAATATCTTCCAAACGTTCAGATTGTTTTGGACGCATAAAAAAATCAATTAATCTTTTTACTCGTACAATTAGTTTTTTTACCGGAACCAACCCTTTTCCAATTACAAGCTGGAGGGTATGCGCAGTGCATCCTTGCCACTCAATTCCATCCATATCAGAGATGGCCTTCTTCATGTTGGCAGCATTGTCGGTCGTAATTGTAAAAGTCTTTTCACGTAATTTCCATTCATCTAATGTTTCTTCCAAGCTTTCAATTATATGTTGAGAAGTATGAGGATACCGAACATAATTAACAGTTAAGGTAACCTCATAAAGGTTAAATTTGGAATCAATGTATGAGCAAGTTATACCAATGTATCCCTGTCCATTTTTTGCAGTTCACATATCAGTAGTCAATGATACGTTTTTTGCTTCTACATTGATTTTTTCAATTAGTGTTGGTAACATAGAATTATAAGCATTATAAATGATTTTTTTAACTCCTTTTTCATCTGGTATTATAAAGGAAGGATCTAATTCACAAATAAGTTTACGAAATGATGGACTTTGAACTACATATAATGGTTGAAAATCTTCAATTATCCAATCAGTCAAGAATTGACGAAGTTCTTTCTGCCGATTTTCACTATGTTTTTGAGCTCGTATGATGGCCGAAAGAGTTGGCTGATTCTATATATTATGTAATAATAATAATAATAATCAGATAATTATTTTAGTTTACATAGAAATAATTAATATTTATTAAAAACTAAAGAACGCTAATAGCCAACCTTATTCATTTTACCTTCCTTTGTTATTTCATGATCGTTTAACAAGTGGATAATAGCATTTCCAGTAGAACCATCATTAACATAGAGAGTTCCACACTTTTTTCCATTAGCATCTAAGACTTTACATCTTTTAAGTGGTTCTCCATTATCACTTTTATGTTCTTCAATATCTACATTTTCAAAATACTCCCACGTCCAACTTCTTTTTTTTCGACTAGTTTTTTCTACCTTATTTGGTTCAGGAATTGGATAGTCTTGTCTTATTTCATTCATAGTATAAACTAAATAAAGCAAACTAGCAAAGTCGCGTAACGTAAAACAAATTATAATAAATCGCGTAAAGTAATATAAAAATCACGTAAAGTATCTATATATCAATTATTTTGTGATCCGTTACATATAAATGAAAAAGGAAATGATATCCGATACTCACTATAGGATTAACCGGATAAAATAGGTTGTTAATTTTTGTATCTGGATGGAATTTATTAGTAAAAATTTCAAACCGGATATCTGATAATACCGGATATCCGATACCAATCCGGATTAACGGTTAACGGGTCAGAACACTATAAGAAAGTAAGTTTCGAAACTTTCTTTAAAAAATGTTTTTTAATGTTAAAAAATGTTTCTTTTTTATACTTTTAGTGAAGAAAATCAGTTCTGGCGTAAATACTAATATTACAGGTAAAGTTTTAAAAAATTTTTAGTTAAATGTTTCTTTTTTATATTTTTTGCAGAAAATCAGTTCTAGCGTGAATACCATTTCCCTAGGTAAAATTTCAAAAGATTTTTAAAATTATCTTTAATAAAATGTTTTAAAAAAACATTTTTTTATTATTTATATATGGAAATTTAGTTCCAGCATGAATACTGATTTAGTTAAAGTTTCAGAACTAAAGTTTTGAAACTTCTTTAATACATTTTTTATTATTTTTATTTAGGAAATCAGTTTCAATATAAATACCATATTTCAGGTAAAGTTTTGAAACTAAAGTTTTGAAACTTTTTAATAAAGTATTTTTAATAAAAAACATTTTTTTTTATTATTTTTATTCAGGAATTCAGTTTCAGCATAAATACCGTTTTCCTAAGTAAAGTTTTAAAATTAAAGTTTTGAAACTTCTTTAATAAAACATTTTTAATAAAAAAACTTTTTTTTTTATTATTTTTATTTAAAAATTCAATTTTATTGTGAATACTAATATTTTAGAAAAAGACTTTTGAAACTTTTTTAATAAAACATTTTTAATAAAATGTTTTTTTTTTATTTTTATATAGAAATTCAACTCCAATGTGAATGCTGATATTTTAGGTAAATTTTGAAATAAATGTTTCAAAACTTTTTTAAAAATGTTTTTTTTAATAAAAAATGTTTTTTTATTTTTTATATAGAAATTCAGCTCCAACATGAATGCTGATATTTCAGATAAGTTTTGAAATAAATTTTTTGAAACTTCTTTAAAAATATTTTTTAATAAAAAAACATTTTTTTTATTTTTTTATATAGGAATTCAACTCCAATGTGAATGCTGATATTTTAGGTAAGTTTTTAAAACAAATGTTTCAAAATTTTTTTAAAAATGTTTTTTTTAATAAAAATTTTTTTTATTTTTTTATATAGGAATTCAACTCTAATGTGAACGCTAATATTCCAAGTAAGTTTTAAAATATTTTTTTAAAAATGTTTTTTAATAAAAAAATATTTTTTATATAGGAATTCAGCTCCAACGTGAATGCTAATATTTCAGGTAAATTTCAAAATAAATATTTCAAAATTTCTTTAAAAACATTTTTTAATAAAAAAGTTTTTTTTTTATTTTTTATATAGAAAATTAGCTTTAATGTAAATGCCAATATTCCAGGTAAAGTATTCTCAAAACTGTATTTTTTTCTATTAAAGAATTGGTATACTATAAAGCTGCCGCCCGAAATTATTTCCTAATTCCGAAATAATTTCGGTCAGAATTTTGTTTCCGAAACTAATTCCAAAATTCTGAAATTCTTCCGAAATCCCAAAATCTTTCCAAAACTCCTGAAATTGTCCGAAACTTCTGATTGGCCTATTATAAAATCACATGACTTTATAAATTTGCTAAAATTTTATCTGTATTCTAATTCCATAATTCTGGCTCCGTAGCGATCTTCCTGACACGTGTAGCTTCGTTTTAAGCCTATGTTCACTTTGTGTAACATTAGTGCATAAAGACGCATAATTTCCTTATATGGTATATACGTTACGGGATTCCTTAATGTACAGTGGGGGTGTACGATATTAATGTACGAACTGGCCGGAGTTAACGTTAACGCTATCACGTGCAAGTGCATAACTCCTAAACTCGGGCCAGTTTGTACGTTAATATTGTACACCCCTACTGTACGTTAAGGACGCCCTATACGTTACACAAAGCGAACATAGGCTTAAATCGAAGCTACATGTGTCAGGAAGATCGCTGCAGAGCCAGAATTATGGTATTTAAAATACAGTTATAATTTTGGTAAAAATTTTAATTTTAGTCACGTGATATTATACAGCCAATCAGAATTTTGGAATAGTTTCGGCATTTCAGAATTATCACCGTTTTCAAAATGGTATGCGCAGTATCGATCATTTGATTAAAAAAAAAACCTGATTTTTTGCCGAATATTTTAAATCCAATATATGCGTCTAATGATACTTAAGATTTCCCAGCATTATTTGCACTAGTAGGTTCACCTACAGCTTTTTATAGAGTTATAGACTAAGTTATTACGTAATATTTGAAAGTTTTTTTCATTCAAAGTTTGCGATTATTCACTGATTATTGAGATTATTCAAATTTTTCAACTTTAGACATTGTTTTTTTCCAATGGCTCGTACTTTTAGTGAGGATCTGAAGTGGAGAATTATTTACCTTCATCATGATGGATATAGTCGAATAAAAATTGGCATATTATTACACATTAGCAAACGCACTGTTGATAATATTTTGCAAATATATGTACAATGGAGAACGGTAGTAAATCCATGGCAAAAACCACCAGGACGTCATAAAATACTAATTCAAAATGAAATGAAGGTAATTTATAAGTAAAATAGTGTATCAATTCACTTTTGAATATTACTAATTGTATTATCAATTTAGATATTACGAGAGTTAGTTAAGGACAAGGTGGATTGGTATTTAGACGAATTAGTAGGAGAACTTGAGCAACAAACAGGAAAGTTGGTTTCTATTCCAACTCTTTGGCGATCTTTAGTTTACTGTGGAATTAGTAGAAAGAAAGTATGTGCAAATTTATTATTTATTTATTTGTAGTTTTCTTTTTTTGTTATTTTTTTTGTAATTTATTTTTATTGTTTTTGTATAGTTACATCAAGCAGTTTATGAACAGAATGAACTTCTTAGAAGCATATTTATTGCAAAAGTTGGACGTGATTATAAACCTGAACAGCTTATATTTATGGATGAAGCTTTTAAAGATGAACGCACTTTATCTCGTAGATATGGTTATTCTTTAAAAAATACTTTTGCAATTAAAAAGAATGCATTTTCTTTACAAAATATTATTGCTGTAGACATCATGGAACGAAAGAAATTTTTAAAAATTTTGTTATTTCAAATGTGGTAAGTTTAGGAATTGTTATAATAATTATTATCTTACTTATTTTATCTGTAATATTTATTTTTTTTTTCTTGTATTAGGTTCCTCAAATGAATTCATATCCTGGTGAACAAAGTGTTCTTGTACTTGATAATGCGTGAATTCACCATGATCAAGATCTTGTAGAATATATTGAAGCATTTAGTGGTCATGTTGAGTTCTTACCTCTTATTCGCCAGATCTTAACTCAGTTAAAACTTGTTTTTTCATTATAAAATCATTTTTAAAGAAATACAGGGACTTTGTCCATTCATGTAATGATCCTAAATATCCTCTTTTAATAGCATGTTCTCAAATTACTCTGGAAACAGCTATGAAAGTTTTTAAGAATTCAATTTATATGTAATAGAACTTATAGATAAGAAATTTTGTAAAAACTAGAGTATATAGAAATTTTATTTTCATATTAGTCAAACTGTAAAATGTGAATTTATTATATTATAAATGAAAATATAACATGAATTTTCTTGAAATTATTTATAGCGTTTTGCTGCAGCTCTAAATGTTTTTCGCCACCCAATTTTATTTACGCCTAACTGGTCAAATTCTGCATTTGTAAGATCATTTATTTGATCTACAGTAATCCGTTCATTTTCAAATATATTTTTAAAATCAACTAATTCTTCTGTATTACCATTCGCACCCAATTTAGTAAAGAATTCGTTAAGAGAAGGAACTGCTAGCTTTGGAGAAAACAATGGTGTATTAGAAGTATTAACCATATTTGAATTTTATGCAAGTGAAATCATTTGAGGTGTCATAGTAAAAAAAATTGGTGTCATATTAGAGCTTGAAAGTGTTTCTGTAGGTGTGGGTGGCTTGAAATTTCCTTTCGTACTGCTAGATTGTGAGAAAATCAGCAAATTCGGTATTTGAGTATCATCTGTGGTTCCTCAAATCTAAAATAAAAAAAACTTATTAAAAAAATTATTAGTTTTTTAATTGGTCAATAATAATTTATAAACATAATTACAATTTCTTTTGCCCGGCATTGCAAGTGCATAGCTGTAAGTTTTATATGTCTTTCATCGCCAATAAAACATAATGCATCATGCTGATTGCATTTGTATTTCTCTCTCAATTCACAAATTATATGGCCTTCTAGTTGTAAAATTGTAGAAAAATTTTCTAATTTTGGTACTGCACTTTTTTTTTTATTCAACTTGATATTCTCACTTTCGGATTCTTCAGAATCTGAGATTTCCTAAAACAATAAAAATAAATAAAAAATAGTTTTCTGTATAAAGAAATATAAAGCAAATTACCTTTCTCTTTTGCCTTTTCTTTTTAAGAGAAACTATAATTGACATGTTCTTTTTTTTATCTACCAGTTTTTTGTAATCTGAGAGGAACTTTTTATAATCTTGTATGTCTTCTAATTGTGCTCCAACCCCTTCTGATTTTTCTGGCTTAAATGATACTGAATAATCAGAATGCATAATTTCTCTATCACCGGTTAATTTTCCAACATAATGGTGAATGTCTGCAAGTATATCATCTAATAATGAAGTCTCAATTTCTAACCATTTTGATGGTAATGATGGGTCAGCAAAAGGTTTTATGACCAAATTAAATGATATAGTAATTTGCTCAGTTTCAGATTTTTCGTCTACTTCAAATTCATGCTTAGTATTATCATTAGATTCATCTAAGATAATACAATCATCATTTGTTTTATTATTTTCTAAAGAATTTGAAGTGTCTTTAGTAATAATGGATTTTCTCTGCCTTTGAAAATAACTGTGACATGAAGAGCAAAGAGTAAAGTTGAACTTTGTAGTGAGATCCAAAGAATAGTTGAAACGAGTAACATTATCTTTGATATATTTATATTGTTTGGAAAATAATTCAGATGCAAAAACCTGAGAGTATGCAACCTTTACTTTGTTTGTCCTATTTTTTTTACTTGGTTTTATAGTTTTGTCACATGAGTACATTCTTTTCGAATACTTAATTCATCTCCACAGTATAAACATTTCTTACAGCCAAATATACTAATGAGATATTCTTTAAGTGTCATTATTCAAGTTGAAACACAATAAAACACGAAACTAAATTATTATAAAATCTAATAATTTAATTGGATAATGTTCACGTGATAACAATCCCCTGGTATTCTTAGCGGGTATTCATTTTTAATGCATGATCGATATTGCGCATACCATTTTGAAAACGGTGATAAGTATTTTTCCTAAATTAATTTTACCATTTCAGTTTCGGCAAATGGTAAAATTCCCTAATTTCGGGCGGCAGCTTTAGTATACTAACTGTTTTTTTTATTTTTTTTCAGTTTTCTTTAGATTTTTATTGAATTTTGGACTTTATCAGATGGTAGGTAAGTTTCAAACTTTTGAAACTTTAATTTTTTATTTAAAAAATTTATGGATTAAACTTTTATTGAGTCAGTAAGAATGGTGGATAGTGGGTAGTAGATGGTGAATAGTAAATGGTAGATAGTAGATAGATAAATATTAAATTTAATATGTAATTTTTAATATATAAAGCAAATTAATAGAATTTTAATACAAATTAACTAAATATACAAAAATCAGTAATAATTAGGTTAATTATTAACAACTGTCAATTTGTTTTTACTGATTTGTTACCAATTTTACTGATCAATTTGTTGACAAGTGGTAGGCATTATTACAGTGCAAATCGCCTATAAAAAATTAGTTGCCAATTTTTTTGATAATGATTGGTTAAGATCAGACTGACAATTTAAAATTTTGTTAAAATGGATTATTATGACTAGTGTATAGTATCTTATAACAAGAAAATCTATACCACAAAACTTTATATTCTTAATGATCCTTCTTCAAGGTATCCTAATCCTACTATTATTAAATAACTTCAATATTTACCATTAAAATATACAACACATCTTAAAAACATCATACCGTAATATCGATCTCCTTATATGAACAACTGTAAAAAATTTGATCTGTATTTTATCTTTCCATATTTTTTTTATAAATATATAAATTTCATGGAATTTATAGCTTTAAATCATAGAAATTTTCATCTCGCTAACATGAATATCTGTGAATGTATCATTTTCACAGAATTTTTAAGGAAGACATGGAGAAATAATGGAAATATTCAGATAAAAATTTTTATAGGGATAAAGAACAACCATGAAAATAATTGGTTATGTCATATTAAAAATTGTAACAAAAAGAAGAAACCTCTGCCTTCTTTACCACTAGATCTACATGGTAATCTGCATTTTTATTGCTAACTTTCAAAACATTAACCTTTTTGATTACACGATATGATGTCAGTTTGATGTCAGCTCATTACCACAATACAATTATGGAACAAACATGCCCTTAAACTATGACAGTGACATGTACAACATGCCACTTTACATATAGCTGATTTTACGACTAAAGCTAACAACAAATACATGATACATCATTTTGAAAGAAGATCAAGCTATCATCAATGCTCTGAATGTATTTCTAAGACGAACTCTGCCTCCAGATGATGCTTCTAAAATCATGATGAGTGATCCATCATACACTTCAGCAGTGTCCTGTGTCCCAATGTGACACTGTTATTTATCCACCAACTCTGGTACACAAATAATTACTAACCCACATTCAACAAAAAAACAATTACAGCCCTCTGACCACCAACCATTGAATCCTATGGGCTGAAGATTAAAATTCGTTATAGTGAGAAATTCACTATACTGAGGGTCATTTTATTATATATAGAAAAAATCTGTACCTGAACTTTTCTTCATTATAGCAAGTTATTCACTATATAAAAATTCACTATAGAGAGGGTGAACTGTATCTTGATTTAGACAAAAGAAAAATATGGATAAAATTGATTAGTTTGAACTCCTCTTGTTTTCTGTTCATGACTCTTTTTTATTGATTAATCTGGTTATGCCTGGGATTTGAATGAATAATAGGCTAGATGACTCCTATCCAGTGCCTTGGGGTTGGACAAACTCACATTAGTTTAGTTTTGTATCGTTATCTTTGTATTTCGTTCTACTAGCGTTTGCTTGTATTGCCAGATCTGATGTCTATATAACAAAAATAAAAATAAAATAAAAAAATATTTATGACATATGTTGTAAACTCGTAATGCCGAAATGGCGTAAGCACCTATAGTTTCAGCGTTTGTTTTTTCATTTTCACATCTAAAAACGCCGGAACTGCCAGTTTCGGCGTTTTTTTTTTCATTTTCACATCTAAAAACGCCGGAACTCAGTTTCGGCGTTTTTTTTTTCATTTTCACATCTAAAAGCGTCGGAACTATCAGTTTCGGCTTTTTTTTTCATTTTCACATCTAAAAGTGTCGGAACTATCAGTTTCGGCGTTTTTTTTTCATTTTCACATCTAAAAGCGCCGGAACTATCATTTTCACATCTAAAAATGGCGGAACTGCCAGTTTCGGCCAATGGTATTTTTTACGGTAATTACGTTTAACGTATTTCGAATTACGAATTACGTATTTATTTACGTATTCGAATTACGAATTACGCCGTATTTCGAATTACGAATAACAAATTATATATATTGCACTGTATGCGACTCCCTAGTATTCACCCCTGAAAAGTATATTTCTTGCTATGCAGATAATCATTTGAAGAGATGTATACTATTTCAAACGAACATGCGTACGTGAGTACGTGATATGCAAATATTTGGTGTCGATCACGTACTCGTAGTCACACTCGCCGTACCTGTAGTAATTAGCTATGGTGTCGGTGAAACGTTTGTCCGTGAAATAAATACCAGTGTAATTATTATTAATAGTAACATTAACCGTTATGTCGTATTTTGCGAAGAGGGAAGCGTAGGTTTTACAGACTAGAAACTGTAGAAGTTTCTACAGATGTGTTACCTACCGATCCTCATATTCTTACATCAGATTGTATGAAAATATAACTATAACGGTAATTTACGATAAACAAAAATATTCATAAATAATAAATAGATGCACAAAGTTATCTCTTTATGAACTTTGTACACCTTTTTATCCAGATAATCTGAACTTAATCTTATTGTTACGATTTGATCACCACTAAAGATGATCACCCAAGATTACACTATAAATTATCTCTCAATTCCAACTTTTTCAATTATTCATAAAGTTTTTTTTTTAATATGAATACTTCTAAAGTTTTTGCCGTTTTCTTTGTCCTTTTCTTCGTTTTAATCTCTTCCACAAATGCTCATTTTAGTATTATAAGCCCTCCATTTAGAGGACGTATAGGGGCTAATATGATACAATCTCCTTGCGGCGGCTTTAATGATGTAAACACCACTGCTATAACGGAATTTCCTCTTACAGGTGAGAATATCCTTTAGAAATTTTATTTCACACGACATTATAAATTATTTTAAGATAAAAACTTGTTAGTTTGGAAGTTTCCTTCTATTTTTTTTAAAAATGGCAACTAAAAAAAAATGAGTCAGTTTCACAATCTTGAACTTAATTTCATGTCGGTCCTATATTAATTATTGTATTTTTTTTCTTTTTATGTTATGTAGATGGTCAAGTAACTACCAGATTCGGAGATGGTAATGGTTTTATGATTATCAACTATGCTCCCACTTCCAATGATACTTTCCAACCTGTTTCAGGTATAATAAGTATTTCAATTTCAAATATTTGATTTCATTTTTACTTAAAGAAAAATACTAAATATATATTTTTTTTTTCACAGAGAATTTCACAGTTTTTGTTGCCGAAGGTGCTGAGGCAAAATATTTTGCTATAAAAGTTGACCTCTCTAAAGCTGGTGCCAAAGTTGGAGATCAAGGAGTACTTCAAGGTTTTTACTCGGGAGCGACCAATACGTTGTATGGATGTGCTGATATCAAAGTTGTAAATTTTGAAGTTATAGGTGGTGCTGCTAAAAGTGATAATAAATCCAGTGGAGCTTCTATTATTAGTACCTTTGAAGTCGTTTTCTTCACGACCATTTTAGCTACTTTTATCATTGCTCTTTGATTATAAGACTTTTTTTGTATATTTATTTATTTGTATAATTATACTCCAATCATTTTTTTTTATTCATTTTTTACTTGGCCGGCCGGCCCCTTTCTTACGTATTACTTTAAAAAAATATAATAAAGTTTTTACTTTGATTTTTTAAACGTGTTTTACAACTGAGTAGGGTTCCGCACGGATCGGATCGGATCGTATTTAGATAAGATTTGATCCGATCCGACATTCGAAAAAAAATTTTGATCCGAACTGAGTCGAATCGGATTATACTACAGCTGTTTTCATATTATTCGGGAAAATTTCGAACCCGACATCCGGTCCAGTATGGCGGATGTCGGACTGTCACGTTTGTTTATTTACATAAGGGTTCAAATCCAATACATAACCCCCCCCCCCTCTCTCTCTTTTTCAGTTTTTGGGAGTTTTTTTCAAACATATAATTTAGGTTAAAGTTAGAAGTAATTTTCTAATTAGGCCATAATTGTTAAGTGTTCAATTAATAGGTTATAACATTTAATTCGCGCCAAAATTAACAATAATTCTGGCTATTTTTTTTTTGTTAAATTCCTCCCCTCCCGGTAAATCATCTCAATCTTGTTATGTTAAACAATATATTGGATTAGTGTGGCCTAACGATAATAGATAAAATAGTTAAACGTAACTCGTTGATATAATTCATTGATTCATAAATCATAATTTCATATCATATATATATTTATTTTCCAAATATATATATATATATAAATATCTCAAACTGCATCTTTAACTTATAGTCCTAATATTTGTTTGATATGTTTTAGTTTGTATAACTTGTGCAAAAAATGGAAATAATTGTATTCGTGCACCAGTTTTTTTTAATAAAAAAATGCCGATTTATTAAAAAAAATCGGTATATCGGTTTTTTTTAATAATAAAAAAAACAGTTTTTTTTTAATAAAAATAAACCGATTTTATTAAATCAGCTTTTTTTATTGGGCTACCGGTTTTTTTTACAGCTGTTTTCATATTATTCAGGACAAAGTAAAATTTTGAACATCCTCAATGTCAGATTGTCACGTGAATAAAGATTTACTAACCTTTGGAAATTTTATTAATATATTTATATAGTGAATAGTGCCGATCTTATCCGGATTGTAGTAGGTACATTAGCAAACCATGCAAGAATCTATTGCTTTCTTATATTTTATATATCTATTTTTGTAATTGGTTTGTGAAGAGATCCTCTTGGTTTTTTATGAGTTTTGGGTGCACAAATACAATTATTTCCACTTTTCACACAGGTTATAGTTCTAATATTTGTCTGGTACCTTTGGTACCTCTTCAATCTGCTCTGATAGTTTTAACTGTCTATGAACTTCGTGAACAGGCGACGAATCAAATACAACAACAGCTGATACCTCTGATGACACTTCCTTATCATTCTATGGCTGTCCATCCACTATCGGGGGACTCTGTTCCAATATCGCAAGTCTGGCTTCAAGCTCTTTTCAGCTTTACGTTTGGTATTCTCCTCAATAATCTGTCTAACTTCACATTCTCGGCCTCAAGCTCAGGCATTCAAACAATTTGCATACACTTTCTAATGTAACACAATTGTAAAATGATCACGTGTTAGCGCATATAGAATAGGATCGACATTTATTTATACATGTGCACGTGATAAAGTGTACGCAAATGCCAAGCTCAGTGATACGCTGTCTCAATAATTCAAGCTCAGATGACATGATTGTAGTATGTTTTATTCGAAGGGAATTGTTCAATATATGTAATGATACTTGCATGAATACAAGGAAAAAAATTCATGTGATTTCAGCAACCTCAGGTCGTCCAAATTTTACCAAGAAAATTTTATTAAAATAGTTAGACTATTCTCCTGTAGTAGCAAAGCTACCAGGGAGCATTAATACATGCGAAAAATAAATACAAATGTTCGGGACTGTGCCCATGATACATGATATCTATGCTAGTCTCCTATACAATTATTTTTTCTTGATTATCTCTTCTATACGGCGCTTCTTAGTTGCAGGTTCCTCACTACCTAGTACTCTATTCTTTAATAAACCTACTATAACCTCTAAAATCCTCTTCACATTCATACGCAATTCTGTATTATCTTTGAGAGCGTCTTCTGTAAGTGAAATTCGATATTCGGTCCTGCTAGTACTATAGATGCTCTCGGTGCTATGAAGAATAAAGTACCAGTCGTGCCAGTACTGACTATACTATAGACATATTCATAATCGGGATCAAATGCCTCATCAACTTTTCATTTTTCTTGTTCATATTTATATTCATCTAGAGTGAAATAGAGAAGTAAATTAGCAATAGCCTATGATCAACCTGTAGCGAGCAGTGTAGTAGAATTTGTTACACTTACATCACAAGCACTTTGACATTGTAGTAAGTTTTGGCAGATACCTATAATCGCCTGATTTTGTTTGCCTTCGGTTATGCAAATTATTTCCTCCAACATTTCACTAATAATTGCATAGTCAATACGACCAGTGTTTTCTTTACCAATTATATTCGCCTGAGGTGTGATTACCAAGTCGCTGAGAATACTTACAGCTGTATGTAAGATTGTTGAAATGTACTCGCACCGCATAGCTTCGTTACTATCTACAACTGGAACCATATTTTTTATTCTACGGAGAATGTCGTCAATACATAGTTTAAATTCAGGGTGATTTCATTGATGGTGTGGATGGCTATATTATGATATGTGAGCTCGAAATATATAAAAAAGAATCCTTTAATCTGATGTTACTTATGTGGTATGAACTGTGGAATGCGAGTTATATTCCCATTAACAATCCCATATTTCTCCAGCACCTCACTCAACTCTTTCTTAGTCTTGTACGAAGAGAACGACCTCATCTTTTTCTCCTTACAGTCCTTAGCGAAGTCGGCAAAATTTTTCGCAGGCCCTCCTTTCATGCCATAATCTCTGAGTTCTTCTTTGGTCATATTGATAAAGGCACGACCATTAATCTCTTCATTTTCTAAGATTTTGATAGCCGGCTCGTTAAGTCCTAAATTCTCCTGTCCCTGCAAAAATTCTATAAGCTTGGCCATATCATATTTTTTAATTTCGTCTACCAACAAGACCGTCTCATTTCCAGCAACAGAGATAGAGGTGGAAGCTGAAGTATAAGGTGTATTAGTTATAGTGTTACATTTTTATAGTGATATTAGGCTCAGATATAAAATAGTGTTACGTTCTGGAGTGAGATAAAATTTATTTCTGGGCTAATATATGTTTTTATGTCGCACAGCCATTGCATCATTACACGTGACCCATTTCTCATATACCGGTACTTATTTATGAAATAAAAACATTGCCAGAACTTGGCTTATAATACATAAAAAATTGCGAATAGATCGCTACATGTTATAAGAAAATTATTCTGAGCCTAAGAGGGGCTGAGCAGGATCCTGGACAATTATAATTAAGGTCATATCTTCTATGCTAAAAATTTACCCTTGTCATCCTGAACTTACTTTTAAAGCTATAAATACAAAACTTTGTAATAATAATTGCCCTCCTATTATCTATAATTTTGTTACTTAAAAAGTAATATTTAATAATAGTAATTTTTATTTTTTTGTATATTACTATGTATACCAATAGTGAAAAAACGTATATTTTTTGCAAAATTTTGCCTGTGTAATGATAATTATCTCAAATTCTAATCAGTAGATTTACAAGATTTTGGTATTAAAAGATTCTTCTCTTCAAAAGAAACATTTTTTTCTATGGTAAAAAATAATATTAACTTAATAAAATTACATGTTAAAAGAAAAATAAAGTTTAAAACATAGTAAGATATGACCTCAATTATAATTATCCGGGGTCCTGGCTGAGCTATATATGACATGGTAATAGTCTGGTCGGGGTTGTTCATTAAAAGAAGTGGAAATCAAATCCTGCGGTTGCATAAGCGCCTCACTGGGGAAAACTTGATGACGAATATTGTTGAAGGGTGTCCCTAATCTGCTTTGAATTGTAGCTTCAAGTACGCTAACTGCTTGGTTCCTACCAACTGTAACTGTTTGCTGAACTCGATCGCATGGAAGAGAATTAAGTTCTCCACACGGAACAATAAGACAATGAAGAATGATATTGTCATTATCTGCATCAGAAGACATCTTGTTTTCCTAAATATAAGGCCCATGATGAGAAAAGACTCACTCTCGTACTGTACATATACAATACATACCTTAAAATTTTTGCGTAGAGTTGGCTGAACTTCTACATACCTCTACATGCTTTATATCTTGCTGGAAAAAAGATAAGGAGATATGATGCCAAGAGTTCTATGAAAGCACATGCAAATGGAATCTTCAAACCTTTTCACATGTAGATCTACTCGGCAAGACACATAGTTGGTTTTACGTCTGGTGATCTTGGAATTGCAAGTCCCTCAACCCTTCATAACATATGCTTTTGTCGGCGTTATTCCTTTATTAAGAGGGTCCTGTGTTGCGTGTAGACCTCCTTTCACATTTTTCTCACGTTTGTTCGGGAAAAAAACAAAAGAATAAAGGTTAATATGTTTTCTTTCGAATGTACTGTATATGCAAAATTAATATATTGCACAGATCTGTACATGTGATCATTTATTTTGTCACACAATATGTGGCCCAGCAAAAAATCCATTTTATAGTTTTGTGCGAAAAAAAAGTTTGTGAATTAACGTATCTCGAAGGCAAAATTCTCATATTTCAACCTTTAAACATTATGGCAAAGTGCTGTGATATTAATTATTATTACAAGCTTTATACATTTTGTTGAGCAGATGATACCTTTAAAAGCAATTCTGAACATGACAATCCTACATCCACCCAATAAATTGCTATATTTGGAGAAATATCAACTTTCAAATAATATGCTAAATAAAATAATCACAACAACTACTGGAAATAAAATATAAAATATTCAAATAAAGTATTCTTTATTATAGAACAAACCTATCATAACTATTTTTAATATAATAATTAGAAGTTGGATTCCACCAACAACCGCATTTAAAATAAGCATAAATGTTTTGATAGATTCATTGTCATTATGACCTTTATTTAAAACATCCATTAAGATATTAACAAGTGAAATGAGTGCAACTTTAATAATGTCGAGATTAAGCTCCTAATAAAAAGGAAGAATATAACGAAATTTACGATGAAAAAACTAGTTTGATTTAGTAAGACATCACTTAAATAGATATAGATTAAGTATACATACATTTTTTTCACGCTTCTCACAAATCGTTTCCAAATACAATGCTTTCAAACTTTCATCAGCCAATCTGTCATATTTGGTTTTCTGCCATGAAGGCAAAGTCTTGTATGTCATATTAGCGGTACCTGATTATCATAAAGAACAAAAAAGGTTTAGTCATAGCGTTACATAATATTAATCTAGTTAAGCGTCACGTTCAAGTTGACCAATCATGACGATGCAAAGGCTTACCTTGACGCTCATCTAAATTGGGTTAGTAGACCAAAAAAGGCAAAATTAGTCCGAATGTTCAAAGAGTTTCATTTCAGTAAGTTAAATTGCTTACCAGGCGAAGCAGTAATGAACAACAGAATATTCTTTGCAAAAGAATCTTTAACATTCATTTCATCAATATTGAATAGTCTTAAGACAGAAACAAGTTCACCTTTCTCATGTAGTTCTACTGTCTCATTTGAGTTGTCATTATTATAAGTTGCTTTGAGAGTGAGACTTGACAAAGCGAAAGTATTGAGTTTTGGAGCCATTTCGATTTTTATTTTTTTCTTGAGGTTATCCACATATTCAACTTCCTCTAATGAAACTTTAGTCCAGTTATCTTTAGGATTCTCAAGTTTAAACCAAACCTTTAGAGTTATCATATTGAGTTTTGTAACTAAAAAAAAAGAAAAATAATAAGAAACGAAATAGGCGATTTTACATTTATATTCATCAAATTATAAGTCTGAAGTATCACAAGCTTTTATTAAACTTTCTAACAAAAGTTTTTCATGTAAATATATAATAAAATTACACGTCATTATGAGATATCTGAGATATCTTGGTTATATTATATGGTATTTTAATTTAATATATATATATAAAGTATGCAATTGAAAATAATTGCCAATTTGCATAAGATTCTATTTTCTAAATAAATAAATCTATCCGCCGTAGTTATCATATATCAGATATGATCATTTTGATCATTTTGATCATTTATCATATATATAGTACTAGAATTTATTATAATCCAAATGCTTTTTATTATAAACAACACATAACTTTATTGATTATTTTTCAGATAAATAGCTAATGATAGAGATAGCAAATATAATGTATGATGCTATCAAAGAGGGAGGGAGTATGCGGATCCAAGGAGGACCCCGAACAATATATATATAGGTCAGATAAAAAATTCAAAATTTACTAAGGTCAATAAGCAAATATTTTTCATGTCTGCTAAGCAAACTTTTATCTAACCCATAAATTTTTTACACTACTAAGCAACTTATTTTATGACATATATATATTTATATATAATTTTTTTTATAAAATATGTATATAAAAAAAACTAAAAAAACAAAAATTTTTGAAATAATGTATGGATAAAGCTATTATTATTTTTTTGTAATATTACAACTTATAAATGTTTCTTATTAATATTTCGTATATCTGTTCTGTGACTTCAGAGCGTAATTTAGGCACTTTGGTCAAAGGAAACATCTAAAACCTTCTTAAGTAAAGTTGTTCAACAGTCTACTTACATATAAATTTTTATCATGATTGAATAGATATTTATGGATTTATTCATGTTTTTTGTAACACCACCAATACGCGGAATTTTTATTTTTAAAATTTACTGTAAAATTAGGACCCCAGTTATCTAATATAAAGGTCATAATGGACTTTTGGCCAAAAACACCCCTTTTTGCTGAAACTCAAAAAATCGTTTTTTGTAAATATCTCAGCATCCAGTAATTCAATTTTAATGAACTTTTTTTTATTTTGTAGCCCTCATTTAGCTCTACAATTTAAAAAAAAGTTCATCAAAATTGGACCACTGGATGCCGAGATATTTACAAAAAACGATTTTTTGAGCCCCTGAAAAATGGGCCAATCTGCCGAAAG